ATTCATAATTAACTTGCAAAATGTACATCCGTGTCCTGAACAATATCTTCTATAAGTAAACTTTATGTTAATAGGGACTTGACCCGTGAGTACAAAGATATTTCAGAAAATAAAGGCAATTTTCAGCTTACTAAGGGGAAAGCCATTTTGTTGTTATTTTCCAAAACAGCATTGTAAAGTATGCCACCAATTAACAGGCGAATAATAGGTTACAACTGTTCTAGCTGTATTACAGCTGTGATTTCATTGCCCAATAAAGACTAAATAATAAAATAGTAAAGAGAAAACATAAAATAATATCGGAGTCAAGGTTTTCTCTACATGCAACCAACTCTTAATTTGTTTATGGAATGCCTGGCCCAGAAAAGTGTATTTTACAGCTGTGTTTAATCATTACAATTATTTTGTATAAGTAAACACGACCTAAGCTGGTATTAAGTTAAATGGAATGGGATTTAATAGAATTAGGGGTAACGGCAAGCTTTTATCAGAGAAAATGTCATTTGTAAAGGATGAACATCAATAGACTACAAGCTGTGCAATTAAAACAACTTCAGATTGCTGTAATTTCCACATGTTTGGTGTTCATATAAAAGGCTAACGGAATCAGGAATAATGCATGGAAATTGTCCATTGAGCCAGTTATATATATTTCTGCACAGTCATGCCAGATACTTTTTGTGAAGAATGGCAGCCCTTATTATGCCCAAGATACACACAATAGTCTTCAGTCCAGGCTCAAAATGTAAGTCCTATAATAAAATGTATTTGCGAAGGCTTTCACGGCTGGGATTTAATGGTTGTTGTGGGTTTTTCGGGCTCTTTGGCCGTGTTCTGAAGGTTGTTCTTCCTACCGTTTCGCCAGTCTCTGTGGCCGGCATCTTCAGAGGACCAACAACCTGTAATAAAACCTTACATTTAAATGTAGATATGCCTTTGTCAAATGAACTCGATGCCAACTTCTCAAGCAGCACCAGCAAATTAACCCGCATCACTGGAATTAGCAATTCTCATCTACCTTTCAAGAAGTCAGTGCTCACCTAAAGTTGACAACTCTTCATTCACTAGATGCTCTCCCACTGCACTGCAAATTTCTTTTCTAAAATACCTTCCCCCATGGATGAAATGTGCAAAACCCTTTAGAAATGTTCTGTTACTTTGTGTGTGTACTTAAAGCCAAAACACCAAGATGATGGGTATCCCTAGTATTAATTGTTGTTTCCAGTGGATCTTGTCTTTTGATAGTGTGCCTAAAGTACAGCAGCCTCAGTTTCATCTTTTTATACTTCTAAAAAGATTTCAGGGTCTTTTATTTGATCTGAGACCCACTTATTCTTATCCATCAAACTCACCTCCAGCTAAGTTTTTTTTATTAAATGAAAACTTTGTAAGAAACAAAAGAACAACAAACAAACAAAATACAACAATTATACACAAAATTGAAATAGATATGTTTTAAATGGGTCAATATTTTCCTTGCCATCTTTCTTCACTGTCTAATTTTCATATCTAAACATAGTACATTGGGAATACAACAGTCTGGATGATGTTGGTGTTGGTATCCAGTGTCATGTCCTTATACCTGATGATTGTTTCTAATTCTTACATTGCTGCTCTTCCAAGTCTCAGTCTTCTGATTTCTTGGCTATAGTCTCTATTTGGACTAACGAGGGGACAGTGACTTGGTTTGGGTCTCTAAGAAGGACCAGTCCCATTAAGCCTTGCTGATGGATGATGTGGTGATCTTTGAAGATTGAGTCAGTATCCTTCTGAGGAGATCTAAGACTGATGAAATGCGAAAAGGCAAAAATAATCTTCTTAAGCAAGTGTTTGGTGGAAAAGTTGTGCGCTGCCCATGCTATGCAGGAATACAGGATGGGGCAGAGAGGCATGCTTTGGGACAGGTTCTTGGAAGTGGTGTCCCAGGATAATGCAAAGGTGTCCCTGATATCTTATTTGTTCACCTGAGATGCAACGACTTGGCTAAACGCATGGGGAAGTCATTGATTATACAGGTGATTCAGGATATTCGGGCCATTGAGGCCAAAGTCCTTGGAGTAAAGCAAATATGGTCAAATATAGTACCAAGAATTATATGGCAGGTGGATTGTGACCCCAGATATATTGACCATGCCACATGGGGAGTTAACCGAGAGGTTGGTAGAGCCGTAAAGGATGGCCTGTGGTCTGTAGTGGCACACCTGGATATACGGGTGCAGCGGACTGAATTGTACAGAGGTATTGGTGCTACACTCCATATGCCAGGAACTTTGGAAAACTCAGCAGTGGCCAGAGGACTGGAAAAGATCAGTCTACATCCTAATCCCAAAGAAGGATAGTGCTAAAGAATGCTCCAACTTCCGTACAATTGCACTCATTGCACACGCTAGCAAGGTTATGCTCCAAATCCTCCAAGGTAGGCTTCAGCAGTATGTGGACCAAGAACTCCCAGAAGTACAAGCTGGATTTCAAGGGGGCAGAGGAACTAGAGACCAAATTGCTAATATGCACTGGATTATGGAGAAAGCCAGAGTTCCAGAAAAACATCTACTTCTGTTTCATTGACTACGCAAAAGCCTTTGACTGTGTGGACCACAGCAAACTATGGCAAGTCCTTAAAGAAATGGGAGTGCCTGACCACTTTATCTACCTCCTGAGAAATCCATATGTGGGACAGGAAGCAACAGTCAGAACTGGATATGGAACAACTGATTGGTTCCAAATTGGGAAACCAATTTCATACCACTCTGATGGCAGCAAGTGAGGAGGAATTAAAGAAGCTCTTAACGAGAGTGAAAGAGGAGAGTGCAAAAAAAAAAAAAAAGGTCTGAAGCTCAACATCAAAAAATCTTAAGATCATGGCCATGGGCTCCATAACCTCCTGGCAAATAGAGGGGGAAGATATGGAGGCAGAGTGGTATCATTTGCATATCTGAGGTTGTTGATATTTCTTCCGGCAAACTTAATTTCAGCTTGGGAATTCTCCAGTCCAGCCTTTCGCATGATTTTTTCTGCATATAAGTTAAATAAGCAAGGAAACAATACACAGCCTTGTCGTACTCCTTTCCCAATTTTGAACCAATCAGTTGTTCCATATCCAGTCCTAACTGTTGCTTCCTGTCCCTCATATGGATTTCTTACATACTTAAATGATAATCAGTGATTATCACTATTAATTAATTAATTAACCACTCAACCAAATGATCAATTAACCAACCAATTACTCACCTAATAAATCAGTTAATGTATTTACTTGTTTACTGATTGATTGATCTATTTTAAAACACTGCACAC